GGCCGCTGCCCCGGGCCTCGCTTCTCCATCTGGCTGGCCCTACTCCGTCCTGCCCCCCAGGCCAGGCGGGCTGGCCAGCCGCCTTCATGTGCTTTTCACGCCCGTGCCAGGTACTCGGAGGTCTCCTGCATGGAGCTGGACAAATTCCTAGAGGACGTCAGGTGAGAGCTGGTGTGAGACGGGGGGCAGGCGGCTGCCAGGCCCGAGCCCCCAGTCATCCCCGCTGTGTCCCCAGAAACGGGATCTACCCTCTGATGAACTTTGCTGCTGCTCGGCCCCTGGGGCTGCCCCGCGTGCTAGCCCCGCCCCCAGAGGAGGCCCAGAAGGCCAAGACCCCCACGCCAGAGCCCTTTGACTCAGAGACCAGAAAGGTGAGCCCCCACCCTGCTGGGCACTGCCAGGCGGGTGACCTGCACGCGGCTGGGCCTGGAGTGTCCCCAGCCCCACTCTCCACACTGCTGGAAACCAGGGCCGGGCCGACCCCTCTGTGGAGTTGGGGGTATTAAGAGAAGCTGGGGTACCCCCTTTCCCAGAGACTCCTTGCCCCTACAGACACCCCTCTCCCACCTCTTGCTGCCTGTGTCCTAAGAGCTGCCCCTGAATCTCACCTGCCCCCGCCCCTCTGAAGCCGCCCCCTTGGCTTGCTGACGCCCTGACGTGGTTGTCCTGGTGCCCCCCACGCCCCCCTCGGCGTCATGTTTTCCCGGCCCCTCCTCCCCCCCGGCTCCCTCCCTGCTTCCATGTCCATAACCCTGGTTCCAGAGCCTCTGGCTTTGCCCTTGTGGGTGTCTCCATGGTCACTGCCCTGCCCCGGGCACCTCTGTTCCCGACCTGGATGCCCCCAGCCCCCCTCCCCGCCGGCTTCCTTCCTCTTGGCTCCCCTCCACACCGCAGCCAGAAGTCACCTCCCAACAGCCAGCGCTGCCCAGAGACCGTGGGGCCCTCAGCGGGGCCTGTGCTCCGACCTCTGCTTGCCCAGCCCCCTCGGCCCAGCTGTTCCCTGCACCTGTGCAAACCCTCTCACACCCTCGTGAGCGGTGGGTCCAGCCCCGGCCAGGCCTCTCTCCCTCTGGGCCCCTTGGAGGTGCATCCGCTCTTGCTCCTCAGTTGCTGAGCCTGAGCCTTCGTGGGTGACCTTGGGCCCCCACCGCCCCCAGGTGATCCAGATGCAGTGTAACCTGGAGAGGAGCGAGGACAAGG